ATAAACTTTTACATTCATTATTTCGCGAACTAAGCCCCTGTATGTTAACATTTCATGATGCACATACACGAAAAGTCAAACAATAAGTTAAATTACAAATTAGAATTAAATTACTTTAACAATTTTTGAAAATCGAAAATAAAACGTTTGCGTACCACTTTATTCTTAATTTGGTTTTGTCTTGTTACACCCTGTATGTAAGAATCTAAATTTTTATGTAATTTATCGTCGTCATGGATACTGTTTATGTTTTGAGTAAAATATGTAAGAGACAAACTATATGTACAAACTTGAAATGACATTTCACTGCAGGTAACCGTGAAAAATAGGTGTTCTATTATAATTATCTCACCCAACATAATAGGATTCACCAGATTTAATTATAGACTCCATTACGAACCATCATCAAACGTCAACATCTACACTCAAAAAAGATCGTGAGATTGTAGTCCATGTGACAGGGCTTACGCCTTTCGCCGGTCATTAATATTTATTAAAATGGTTAATTCATGTTTTGTTCTATAAAAATCACTTTCCTTTGATCCATTTTTATTACTCCTGTCTGAATTAATAAGGGGACATTACTTTTTGGACGTATTTACATAATAATTGTTACGGAGGATGATGCATCTAATAAAAACAACTTAAATTATGCTTTATAAATAAAACATCTAGTGCAGGTTTGTATCGAAAACAAATTCTCTTCGGAATAAGCCGTAACTTAAAGAATTTATTACTAAACATTTTTCAACGTTGGTGTCATGTTATATATTTTGTGGTGTTATTTTAAGTCAGTAAGCCGTTTATAAAGGCATATGATTTTGAATGTAATCAAACTGTTCTGTAGTTGTAGTTTGCTTTATTGAACACATATTTCTTTCACCGTTGGTGCTGGTATCGTGTTCTTGTGTTATTTCAAGACAGTAGTCAATAAGGTATTTATAACAAACATTTTCTCCCAACAGACGTAAAAACAAAGCATTTGTAGGGGCTTCTAACAGTAAATAACCTCTTTAAATGTCCCAGAAGATTTTTTTATTAAACATTAATAATTTGGAATTGGGACTAGACTCTAACTTTCATGGAATCATTTTTAGAGTTTAGGTCTTTTTTATACCCCTTACATTCAGAAAAACCTAATCTAGTCTAACCGTATACTACATAACTAAACATACCGTATACATAACTAAACGTATAAAACAGTACAAAACTGATTCTAGTATATTTTTTCCCTACTTTCGGATATAATTAAAAAAACGACATAAAAGAAAACTATGCTACAAGTAAATAAATTCTGATACCTATGTAATATGATTCTAGAGTAGGTTCATTCCAACTAAAGAGGATATACAAATAATAGATTTCACTTCATTCAAAAGCGTGGATCATATTTTATCTTTTTCTAATATGCGCGAGGCACAAAGATTTTGAACCGAATTTTTGTTGTCAGGCGCAACTTGTAGTAAAATTTGTAATTTATTTTTTCAATAACCTTTACCTCATTTTCTTTCCCTACAACTGTGCCTTACAGTGAGTGAAATAGAACATATTCGAGTTTCTGAAGTCAGTTGTAGGTATATATGGTACCAGAGACGGTTTAGCCAACGAGTAAACGACAAACAATACGAACACGCTTCGTTTCGCATGAACAGGTAGTGAGTTGTAGGAGGTGGCAACACTGACAGTGATTTACTTCGTTCAGTGACGAGTTAAGTGCAGGGTCACATTATATAAAGTCGGGTTAGGTTATTCATTCATTTTGCTATCCTAAAGATCCTAAAATCCTAATGGACAACTTTTAGGATCTTTTATCTGCATAATAAGTAAATATGTTCTATTAATTTGGATTTTATGAACAAAAATTATTTTAAAACGGGCTCTGTATTAAATATGATATAACGTGGTCTTGTTTTAATGAATGAATTGTAAACTACTGCGCATGCGTCGGGCACATAAAAATACCAAGCAAAAAATGAAACTTAGAACATGACATTAGTATTGAGTGAAATCTCTTATTTTGTATATCTTCTTTGATTCCAACACAACCTGTGTGAAAACACGGCTATTGATTTTAGTGTCTTTTGACTCATATCATTATTTTTCGACGATATAGGTAGTTTAAGTCAATTTAGGTTTAAAAATATCAGTCAATATGAATTTCATTACCATATTGTTATGACTTCAGAAAATCCAAATGATAACTGTCGGACACAGATACAATTTTTTTTTCGATATTATACCATTTTCCTATTATTTGCTCTTTTGTACATTTGATTTACTTTAAAGGTATTAAGGTACTAAAAAATTCCCTAAAATTTTTATCAAATAAATATAAGAATTTTAAAATTTCTATTCATCCATTTTATAATTTAAAATTAATTTTGCATTTTTTTACATAACGGACCCCGCACAATCTTTGTTATGTGATAGTTCTGATCCCGTGAATCAAGTCTCATTGGGTACAAAGTCTGAAAGCCTTTGTTTTGGACCTACGGCCCCTGAAAGTGGATTTTTTCCCCTTACGCTTAATAGTAAGAACTCAGCAATGATTCTCTATTGTAAAATTACATTACAGAGAGAGAAATGGACCTTGCCCGGTCGATTAGAGATGTTTTTAACTTCCGGTTCAGACCAGAAGTAGCCTTTCATGGGAATCGGCACGAGGTCATTTCGGGCTTAAAGAACGCATTTTAGAAAAAAATGTTTTAAACAAAAGTTTCACATTTTTCGGTGTTGAATGGAAATCCGCAATAAAAATATATACTCCTGTATCTGAAAAAACTGATTTCCCGTCCGAATAGGCTACTTCCAGTTGAAACCGGAAGTTGAAAACATCTCTAATCGATCGGGTAGGGTCCATTTACTATGAATGTGGTGTAATTTTAAAAAAGAATCATTACTGTATTCTTACTAAGTAGCACAAGGGGGAAAATGTTCAACTTTCAGCGGCTGTAGGTCCAAAACAAAGGACTTTGTACCCGTTGAGACTTTTGATCTACGCGATCAGAATTATCTCATAGCAAAGTTTCAAAAAAATTAAGCCAAAAGCCACATTCCATAAGGATTGTGCGGAATCCTTTAATTCACTAGTAAAAACAACCCATAAAATAAAATAAATATGGTAAAAAAACTCTTGGTTCTTACTAGGTTTAAAGATAATGCTCAGTGCTTCTTCATATTTGGCTGCTAAAAACCTCTAAGTATTATTGAAATGTCTACATATTATAACTGAATTGTCGAAAAAAAAAAAACGAAATTAGTAACCTTTCCTTGATAACTTTTATTAACGTAACTAAACTTGACCTACATATTTTCCTAGCTAAGAAAGCTATCATTGGAGTATGAATCTTTCGTTTCTGGACAACATATAGTCAATCCAAACAAACTCAAGTAATTTGATCTATAAGAGAATATCTGTCAAGTAGATATTACATGAGAGTGCCATTGTAATATAGAATTTCATCAAAATGCGTAGGTAATCTGACAGTAATTTACTTTTCAGTAATTTCGGTTATAAGTTTTATGAAAGATAATCTTGACAGGATCTTCGGCAAGAACTAATGCAATTACAAAATAATATCGAATTTTAACTGTAGCTGTAGCGGTATTTTGTTTTGTTTTGAATTGAATTCAACATAGATACAGAGTGAACATTTTGTTTTCACTTTATGTTTCTGACGAATATCTCTTCCACCTCGATGTTACATTTATGTACCGAGATGCGCGTAAATTAATTAAATTAAATATAAGTAACACAATAGTGGTTTCTGATCAGCAAAGCATCGACTCCCTTTGCTAAAGAAATAACGAACTTTGATTTAGTAATTTAACGCAGTTTAAAAACAGACAGAGGTTATTCGAGTTTATGAAAGATTTTAAAAGTTAGAGCAAATGTTGTTAAGTGTTTATTTTCTTAAATTAAACTCACTGTAATTTTCTTGCCATTATAACAGTTCTAACATTAAGGTATGGTATTGTGAGACTAAACAATTTATTTAACCAGAATTATATAGGATAGATGATCGAGAATGGTAAGATTGCAACTATCAGTTTTTACAAAAAGATGCACATATTGCATCTAATAAATTGATTTCAGATAGATAAATGCTTTGAAGAGATAAACGAATATTCTTATTTAATTTTCTTATAATTATTATAACTTTACAGTACCTATATCACCTATAAAACTTCTTACTGGAACATTAACACAGTGAAATTCAGTCTAATCACTCAATCTAATATATTTTTCTAATAATTGAAAATGTGATGGTTACACTAATTGTAAATGATGTTCCGTTAATATTTCAAAAAACAATTAAGAATCTGAATACTTATACTTGCTTTAACTCAATCATAGTACTAGATACCAATCAGAAAATATAGCCCCAAAAAAGTTAATTCAATTATGGATGAAAGCTTCACAGAGGTGAGTGTACTGTAAACTCAGACATATATCAATTTACACTCATTAAGATCTTATCAGAACCAACGATTTAAGTTCATTCAATTTGAACCATTTGCGAATTTAAATAAGTAAAGAATATAAGATCTTGAATATATCTATTTAATCGATATAATAAGACAATAACTTTTTAAAGTATTTTCTAAAATAATTTTATTTTGAAAAATGTTGAGCAGCGCATTTAAATAACCGAGTTTAACTTTTTAAGAACAAAATATTAAAAAATATAATATATGAACTGCTTATCTAGGAAATAAACTAATTGAAATGCAACTTCATGTAACTTTCATTTATATTTTTTTGTTTTATCAATAACAAGCAAACCGTGGAATGAAAACAAAATATTTTGCAAAGCACGCTTAGTATTTCAGATGTTCAAAATTTGGCATTACTTACTATTAGGCGTTTTAAATATAATTGACCGACTTTTATTTATTTTTAAATATTCTACAAATAAGAAGACAACTATTGAAATACCCAAATAATAATAGAGGAAACATTTGAAAAATATATGCTTTTGAAAACAATAGTAACTTACCTCAGTAAATAATTCGAAAATAAGACCGGTAAGCTTTCCAGTAAGTCCCTGACACTCACCGTGCTCACAGAGCCACTGATAAACTTGGACTGATCAGTAGTTCCTCCCGCTAGTGACATTCGTTCATTGATAATAGAAATAGAGTAAGATGAAAGCCCAGATGACGCGGTTAAAGAAGCTGACTTAATTTGAGAAAAAAAAACATACTTCTTGTGATCCCACAGGTGGTTCCCTATCATTTATTAAATATGCCACGGCCATAGTATATTATTACTGAGTATCTTAAGTGGTAAGTGGTAAGTTGTCATTAATTAATTTTGTTTACTCAATTTTTTGTCGGGTTCTCAGCAAACTGCCGGTTCTGAAATGTATTACATGAATTAAGATAAGTAGTGCAGGTACATCGTAGAAAATTATACCAATTGGCTTGCAGATTTTACAACGTGGATAGTTTTGGGATGTCCTCCTGTCATTATATTCTTATTGAAATTACATATTTCCTAAATTTTTTGTAGGAAGCCTAGTACTTTTATTTGCAATTACAAAATTTCTAAATATTAAAAATAATAGCCTTCCCTTTAAATGTATTTCGCAGAACTAGGTACTAAACTTTTTAAAAACTAAATAATTTGTAAGTCTACTGTAATATAAGAGACTTAATTAAAAATACTCTGAATTTACGGATAAGTAAATATTCTACCTCATGCATGACCATAAAACAAAATAAAGATTTAAGATATTGACACTGTAGTGTCATTACAATAGACTTTCATAACTAATTCCCATCGCCGAAATACCAAAAAAGAAAAAACATTGCAGGTATAGGCTTCCTGTACTCATAGCTATCTACATGCAATTGACTAATGTCTACAGAAAGAGAATCCACTTTGCATCAAGGTTCTCCATGCACGTTTCTTGGAGTTATGGTGTTTTTCGTACGTTCTAAATAAAAAAACCTAACATGACGTAACTCATCAAGAAAAGCGCGGATACAGAGAGCGTCAAAGCAAAGTGAATTAGCAGTCTCTAGACACTATTTTGGAATTATAGGGTGTTTGTGAGGTTTCGACAGTGAAAAAAGAAAATGAATATTTTTTTTACAGATTATCACCCATCTAAATCTACGCTTGTTTGTACAGGTGTACAGTAAAAAGATTCGATGTTTCCATCTTTAATTTCTAGGAAATTAGGGCAAATTAGTTGTATTTATATTTCTTCTTGTCATGTTTTACGTTCATTCTTTTGAGTTTTATGAAAAAAAATGCATAAAAGTCTGCAATGGACAACCAGAAAGAAGATACGTTTCAGTATCAAGTTACTGTGTTTGAAATGTGAAACTTTTCAGATCCCGCTACCAGGTTCGAGATTTATATCTTAAGTAGTTAATTGATCAAAAACCGTCTTATTTAAGAATAATTTAGAGGAAAAAATTTTACTTTTCTTTTTATTTGTTTTGACAAAAAAACCATTTTTGCAACGTCCTCACGCCTTGTACACACATTCAATTTTTGAATAAAACTTAAAAAAATATGAAAAAGGAAGCATCTACATTTAAAATAACTATTTATGCAACTGATGCAAAAAGTAAATGTTTTTTGTCAGACGGAGTCGAAGTGGCAAAAACAATTTCTTGTACGAGGTAAATATAATATTTTTGTTGTTTAATAGCTCTGTTATTTCATTAAAAAAATAACTCATTTTGTTTAGCTGTCACCGTAAGGCAGCATAAAATAATAAGTATTTAAAAGTAAATGCCATTTAGGTATGTACTTCATTATCAAATTCGTTGCTAATATACACGGTGTCCGCAAATTTCACAGACAACGTTTGACTGCATATTCACGACGATAAATAAATATGACCTACGAAAAAAAAAAAGATAAATAAAAACCTTTTGGTTTTTGAGGCCTTTAAAGTTGTCAAAAATAAAACTAATTTAATTAATAACTTCATAACCCTTTTACCGATCGCGTTAAAATTTGGTACATTTATTTGGACCGTTATTGCATCTTATTTCTTAAAGCTTTAGTCAAATCGATATACTGGGTGATAGTTTTCTCTGGTTACCTCTCCCTTTTAGCGGTCAAAACTTTTACAGTGGCCGTATTTTTTTAATGCGGGCGGCAACATTGAAAAGGTCGTTGTAATTAAAAAAAAAAATATTGTCCCTTGAGAAAATCGCCTACAGAAAGCCATTCTTGAGAAAAATTACATTATTTGCATGTGTGTATGTTTCGGTTTAAAACTTTGAGTTCAGTAGGCGATGAAAACAAGATCTTGATTGTTATGGCTATCAGCTAATGTGATTATTCTCGTGTTTCTTTAGTATTCTCATTACTCCACACATGCAAATTATGAAAATTTACAACTCCGTTTAATTGTTTTGATACACTGCGGACACTTCATAATTTGCATGTGTAGAGTGATGAGAATCCTAAAGAAACACGACAATAATAACATTCCCTGGTACCAGAGCAATCGACATCTTGTTTTCATCGCCTGCTGAACTAAAAGTTTTAAATCCGTGACACCGTTATACAAACGTACAGACCTGCAAATAATGTCATTTTTCTCAAGAATGGCTTTCTGTAAGCGATTTTCTCAAGGGAGGCTATTTTTTTTAATATAAAACGACAATTTCAATGTTACGACCACTGTAAAAGTCTTAACCGTTAAGAGGGAGAGGTAACCGGATAAAACTATCACCCAGTATATTGATTTGACTAAAACTCTAAGAAATAATGCGCAATAATGGTCCAAATAAATGTACCAAATTTTAACGCGATCGGTAAAAGGATTATGAAGTTATTAATTAAATTAGTTTTATTTTTGACAACTTTGAAGGCCTCAAAAACCAAAAGGTTTTAATTTATCTTTTTTTTTCGTAGGTCATATTTATTTATCGTCTTGAATATGTAAACGTTGTCTGTGAAATTTGCGGACACCGTGTATACAATAATACAATTTACGTGATGTAAAATGAAGTGAATTTTCTATAGGCCCCAAACATAAATTTTTTACAAACTCATTTTAGGACGAGAAATGTCGCAAACGCGGACATAAGGTAATTACGTCCTTGAAGTATTTGCATACGTGAAGCAAAGTATCATCAAATAATCTAAAACATCTAAAAACGATACTAAACTAAAAATATTCATTAACAAAATGAGCTAAATTTTTAGAGTCGACAGAATATAATTTGTAACTCAGTCAAAATATGCATCTTTATGATTTCGTAAGCTTGTTGAGAAACTAGAAGACTTATTCAGAAAAGTTAACTGTTTGGCTTGGTACATAAATAATAAAACTAACTATTCTCTCATAAGTGCGAAAAAATGATTCAGTTCAATACTACTTAAGAGTCAAAAAGATGTAATTTGATATCTATTGTAGAAAAGTAGTTATTTATGTACGTACCTAGGCCAAAGAGCTATAACTTTATTGATAAGCTTAGATATATTTGACAAGCTGGCAAGGCCATGAAAATGCAGGTTTTAGCCGAAGTGCATGATAAAATTTTCCGTTGACTTTAACAATTTGGCCTCACTTCTTTAATCAATATATTTGGTTTAGTGTCAGTTTTTACATATCATATTATTTTACATTCATACCTCAATAGTTGCACGAGCTGCATTTTATGGAGAGGTTGACGGAAACAGATTTTATTATTCTCATAACGCTGGCTTTAAAAATACGATTAGTGAGTCCATTTTCGTTGATATCGTTAGAATTAATTTCTGGATCCTCTTTAATCTTGTGTCTTTTACTTAAAAGTATACCATAGAATAACTTATTTTAATTCGTGTACCATTCCATATCGTTCCCTGATAATAATTTCAGTTCAAAGTATAGTCGATGAACTTAAACAATTAGCATTTCCAGCTAACAGTGCAATTATTCAAAGCGTATATGAACAGAATATATCGATGTATTACTGATATATTAATAGATATGTTTAGGAAAAGGCAGCCGCAAGTGACAGGTGGCGACCACCCATTTGTGAGGGTTTACACTATATCACTTAAAAGGGGCAATTTGATTCGGATGGTGTTTAAAATTCAATACGGATTTATTTAGTAGAAGTTGTCACTGACTAAGTGTGTTTATTTCTTTCTATAGCACTTTCCTAGATGTGTTTAAAAATTATTTTAAGATATACAGGATGCACCTGAAGTAGTAAAAAGTTTTGCCTATGATTTGAACTATTCAACGTAACATACAAACTATTAAACGAAATACATATGTATACAATAAAATAACATAACTCACATTCGAAACTCAATTTTTAATTAGTTACTCAAGAACAAGTGGGAATACAATGAAGTTAGTATACAGTGCATCAATTTCCTCATTGTACCTACAGTGAGCTAAATACGAGGGTGGTCTGAAAAGTTTCCGACCTAACAAAGATACAAGACATTTTTTCAGAATTTTTTTTTTATTTTTCAACATAGTCTCCTTGTAACGCTACACACTTCTCCCAGCGATGCTCCCATCTCTGTAACCCGTCCAAATAGTACTCGGCGCTTTTCTCTGCAAAATAATTGTTCACGAAGGTGATTTCTTCTTCATTTGACGAAAATCTCTGTCCTCCGAGCGCAATTTTTAGATGAGGGAACAAAAAGAAGTCGCTTGGGGCTAGATCTGGGAGTAAGGCGGATGGTCAAGCAGTTCAAACCGTAATTCGTGGATTTTCGCCATTGCAACCGCTGAGGTGTGAGACGGTGCGTTGTCTTGGTGAAACAGGATTTTCTTTTTCTGCAAATGTGGCCGTTTTTCCGCAAGTTCTGCCTTCAGCTTGTCAAGTAATGATGCGTAGTATGCTTCTGTAATGGTTTTTCCTTTTTGAAGATAATCGATTAAAATAACTCCATGACTATCCCAAAAAACAGTCGCCATCACTTTCCCAGCCGAAAAAACAGTTTTTGCTTCTTTTTGGAGCCGGTTCCTCCTTTGCAGTCCACTGTTTGGACTGTATTTTTGTTTCGGGCGTGTAATGGTGTATCCAAGTTTCATCTACAGTAATTAATCGGCGCCAAAACTCGGATTTATTGCGCCTAAACTGCGCCAACAGAGCGTTGGAA